CAGGGAGTGGGATTGGGGGGCTGTGTGTGGGGCTGGAAGTGGGGTTGGGGGTCAGGGAAGGGGGGTAGGGGGCTGTCTGTGGGGTTGGGAGGGGGGTTGGGGGTCAGGGAGTGGGGTAAATGGGGCTGGGCGTCAGTGTGGGGCTGGAGTGTGGGGCTGAAGGACCCCAAAACGGCACTATTGGACCCCCAGTCAAGAATGTCTCAGACCCCAAATCCCCACTTTTTGCCCCAAAAGCACCACGGACACCCCGGCCCCACACATCGGGGGTCTGTGTGCGGGGCTGTGGGGCACTGATGGATTTTGCCCCCCAGATCGACCGCTTCCTGCCCGTGGGGAGGCTCAAGTACTACTTTGCAGTGGACACGGTGTACGTGGGCAGGAAACTGGGGCTGCTCTTCTTCCCCTTCCTGCATCAGGTCTGTGCCCGAGCGGCTCCCAGCCTTGCTCCCAGTCCCAGTTTTGTTCCCAGCCTTGCTCCCATTCCCAATCTTGCTCCCAGCCTTGCTCCCAGTCTTGGTCCCAGTCCGGGTCTCAGTCCCAGCTTTGTTCCCATCCTTGCTCCCAGTCCCATCCTTGCTCCCAGTCCCATCCTTGCTCCCAGTCCCATCCTTGCTCCCAGTCCCAGTCTTGGTCCCAACCTTGGTCCCAGCCTTGTTCCCAGTCCCAGCCTTGCTCCCAGCCTTGGTTCCGGTCCCAGCCTTGTTCCCAGCCTTGCTCCCAGTCCCAGCCTTGCTCCCAGCCTTGTTCCCAGTCCCAGCCTTGCTCCCAGCCTTGTTCCCAGTCCCAGCCTTGCTCCCAGTCCCATCCTTGCTCCCAGTCTTGGTCCCAACCTTGGTCCCAGCCTTGTTCCCGGTCCCAGCCTTGCTCCCAGCCTTGGTTCCGGTCCCAGCCTTGCTCCCAGCCTTGCTCCCAGTCCCAGCCTTGCTCCCAGCCTTGTTCCCAGTCCCAGCCTTGCTCCCAGCGTTGTTCCCAGTCCCAATCTTGTTTCCTGCCTTTCTCCCGGTCCCAGTCTCTCTCCCAGCCTTGCTCCCAGTCCCAGCCTTGCTCCCAACCTTGTTCCTGCTCCCAGCCTTGCTCCCAGTTCCAGTCTTCATCCCAGTCTTGTTCGCAATCCCGGTCTTGGTCGCAGTCTTGCTCCCATTCCCAGTCTTGTTCCCAGTCTTGCTCCCATTCCCAGCCTTGCTCCCAGCCTTGTTCCCAGTCCCAATCTTGTTCCCTCCCTTTCTCCCGGTCCCAGTCTTGGTCCCAGCCTTGCTCCCAGTCTTGGTCCCAGTCCCAGCCTTGGTCCCAGTCTTGTTCACAACCTTGTTCCCAGTCCCAGTCCTGCTCCCAGTCCTGCTCCCAGTCCTGCTCCCAGTCCTGTTCCCAGTCCTGCTCCCAGCCTTGTTCCCAGTCCTGCTCCCGGTCCCAGTCTTGGTCCCAGTTTTGGTCCCGCTCCCAGCCTTGCTCCCAGCCTTGTTCCCAGTCCCAGTCTTGTACCAACTTTGTTCCCAGTCCCAGCCTTGTTCCTATTCCCATTCCTGGTCCCAGTCTTGTTCCCATTCCCGATCCCAGCGTTGTTCCCACATCCGCTCTTCCCATCCCTGCTCTGGTCCTGCTGTTGTTCCCGTTCCCAGTTCCGCTGTTGTTCCCGTTCCCAGTTCCGCTGTTGTTCCCGTTCCCATTCCTGGTGTTGTTCCCGCTGTCGTTCCCAATCCCACTGACACTCCTTATCCCATTCCCACTCCTGGTGCTTTCCCATTCCTAATCCCATCTTCCTGCCCCCATTCCCAGCACATCTCCTCATCCCGGTGCCGTTCCCATTCCCAGTCCCATTCCTGGTCCGTTTCCCAGTGCTGGTCCTTCTGCTGATCCCATTCCCAGTGTTGACCCTATTTCTGTTCCCATTCCCAGCGCCATTCCCATTCCTGCTCCCACTCCATTTCCTGATCCCATTCCCAATCCCATTCCCACCTCTGATCCCAATCCCATTTTTGATCTCATTTCTTTTCCCACTGATTCCCAATCCCATTCCCAATCCCATTCCCACCTCCGATCCCAATCCT